GAAAGGAAGCCTGTCTGTCTGTACACACCTTATGACTCGAGTGTACCAAAAGAGATCGGATCCAGATTCAATACTTCCGGGATTTAGGGGTTGTTCTTCGCTGAGAGCTTCTTCACTCAATTACCAAGATTCAATCGACTTTCTTTTTCCGTTAATAAAAGAGAGGAGGTATAGCACCAGCCCTCAAGCACTACACCAATAATTGACAAGCCGGATAAGCCGGGTAAACTTCTCCCTCTGCTGCTACTGGATATCGACCTAAGAGATACTAGACCAGGTATGAAAGGAAGGGCTTAGTCTCCGTAGATGGAATGAGAATACACAGGAGGTTAACTCAGTCCTATTATTAAAAGAAGTAGCGCCTTCGCTTACTCATTCCTCCGTATGGCTTGGGGGTCGGCTTGCCGGACTGACCGACTAGTAGTTAGAATACCTCCCCTCCACATCCTCCGCCTGCTGCTTAGGGGTTGCTGGTGACGGTGCCATCCTCAGAATCCTTCCTATTCGGCTTCTGGCTTCAGCCTCAGATTTGTGCTGCCTTTCGGCCTTCGCTTGCTTCAATGTTGCCATGAATACGCTTGTTGGTTGACTGATCCTTTGTTTGATATGATCCTACTATTGAAGACCCTTACTTTTGACCTTCCTGCATCCTTTCCTTCTCCCTTTGGAGATGTTTAAACTATTGATTGCCGTGTTCTACTTGGCTTACAGAGATGTTTTAAAGTGTTTTCTTCTTATAAGCAAATAACGGCTCACGCTTTTTCACTGGATGTGCTTTTGAACGGGTCAAAGAACTATGAAATTGTTTTCTTCTTTCTTCAATTCAAACTTCAAACCTCGTAAGCCTTTATTTACTATTCCACCCGGTAAAAGCCAACTTTACGATTTACTGCTTCCAGTCTTTGCTGTCCAATCCGTAAGTCCTTACTTGAAGCCCTAGGTAAGGTTTAGTCTTCCAAGTAAAGTAATGCAGAATGGAATGGTTGATGGACTTGCTTTCTCGCCTTTCCGCAGGAACCTCTGTCTCACTTATTGACCTCTAATATAATCTGAGGGTAGCCCAGTCAGCTTACTCGCACCTATAGTGGCAGCGCCTTATTCCACTACGTATCTGTCTGTTTAAAGAAAGAAATTGGTTAGTTAGATCACGCAAGAACTGGCGTACCAAGGGAGATCTTTCGATCACTCTGTTAGACCCAAGGCACGTCTTCATCAAGCTCTCGAACAAAGAAAATATGCACCAAAAGAGAAGTTTTTTATTGAGGGAGTTTAGGGTTTTCTGCTGGAGCCATGATTTCCGTCTCTGCAATGGTGATCCAATGCATGCGCGGGTATCGCGACCCCATCTGCCTATTGTCTTCTTTTTTGAGTTTCGCCTGACGTCTCGACTTTCGGAATTGGCCTGACTGGTCCTACGAAGCTTGTCTCACGCCCCAACGTAGCTAGGGTTTGTGTAGAAGTCGGTCTTCTCAAGGAAAACCTCCAAAATCGTGTTTGGATTGGATCTACTGTGTATGGATCACCAGCAAGAAATCGTTTCTTTTTGAATACCTAAGTTCTGCACGCATTGCAGACGACAAGGTCATGCCCGTTACGAATGCAAAGTGGCAAATAAGGAACCTGGTGTCAACCCGTCACCGAGAATGGCCTATGTTCCAAGAACCAATGCTACCATCAGAACCTACCACTGAAACGATGCCTGCTGCTGATAATGCGGCTCTTGTTCAAAATGCACCTGCTGGTGTGGCTGAAGCTGCAAATAATGCTCCGGTTTTTTCTTTTTATTTTCATGCTAATAACCAAAGCTTTTAAGTAAGTGAGGGCTGCTATCATACTAGCGAGGAGGACACGGGCTCACTCTCTGTTCAACAGAAAGGGAATCCTATTAGGGAAAACTTGCCTTATCTCACTGCTTTCACTGGCTAACCCTACATAGCTTTACCAGTAGAGAGAAGGAGCACCCTTACTTTGCTGTGATGAAACAACTTTCTTTACACTTGATGGCTTGGAGATTATACGTCTAGATGGGGGCATTTCAGGTCTTTTCTTTCACTCGAGACGATGATAATTTGCGTAATGCGTAAGAAAGATTCTATGATGAGCCCGAACCTTTTCTCGGACACCTTAAACTTAAAGTCAAGTCAGTTCCTCAACCCCGTCTGTGGCTGTTGGTTAATTGGTAGAGGAGCACGATCAAATAGATATCAAAAACTAATGCATTTTGATGGCTAATCTATCATTGAGGGGAGACTTTGAGTTCAGTTAGATCTTACTTAAAAGATCATTAGATCGGAGGTTGGAGTGTCACTTTCCCCGGAACTTTCTGTTAGGATGTTAGCTTCTCTTCCCCCTCATTCCTGCCTTCACTCGATTCCAACATCAACTGGTTCTTAAAGAAGGTGGTCTGACCTTACTCCAATTCCCCTAGGGTTAGGGGGTAGCTGCAACAACATAAGATGGATAAGCAGGGGTCTTAATGTCTTTAGTTCGAATGAATCCTCCTCCCTTTGGAACTCTATAGAACCTTCTGTCCCTTCGGGTAGCTACTCGGATAAGCAGCTTAGCTCATTAGCTCATATCAGATTTAGCTAGACGGGTTGGTTTGGAACATCAAGCAAGATCCACCAGCAAAAGGTAAGTATCCGAAGACGTGATCCAAGGTTCCATTCTCCGGGGGTGTAAGCCTTCTTTCTCAATATCCTCATCTGCCCTATCTCCTTTTCACTCTATTGAAGTGGAGCTAATTGAAGACTCACATGGATGAGGCTATACCTATATTCTATCTTAAATAAAATGGGAGACGGAACCAGTTACAAGTAAATACTTGTTTACTCCCTAAAGGGAGAATTCCAGTAGTACCGATCAACCTTTCTGTGAAATCCTTTCCGCCGGTACATCATAAATAAGAAAAGAAGAGAAGCTTCAGTTTCTTGCTTATCTATGGAATATCGCATTGTTACTGGCCTTTCAAATCCTTTCCCCTGGTCTTGCCTCTCGTAAGGGTGTTGATATCCTCGATTCGACGAATCTTGTCTTTCGCGTGTTGAAATTTTCCTGGTGTGAAAAGTGAGCCTGAACTGACTTGGAAGTCCGATGAGTTTGCGCGACGGTTAAGGTTTACCTTGCCTCTCGGGTAGGGGCGTACGGGTTTGCTAAGCATTACATCCACGGGAAAACCTCCGAGAGAGTCCGTTTGGCAGCAAACCATAGCCAGTGGAGTAGGATGAGGCGGCCGGAAGAAACTGAGCCCGGACGAAGCCAATCACATTGAGTTGTAGATTGACATAGTGAACCTTCAGTGTACTTATAATACAAAGTAAGAGTTGAAGCTGAGCATTCACCCTAGTGGCACCTCTGACCTCAGATGCAGATGTTAAGCATATAACTAGCGAGCGAACCTGACTGAGCCTGCCTTTCAAGAAAAAAAGAATCCAGCAGAAGCTGAATACTTGGCTTCAAGCTTCTCAGCGCCATAAACGTTGTTACCTATTCGACTATTCTAAACGTAGCTTCAAAGCTTTCTATAGCGCTTGCTTCTCTCGGGAATTGTTTCTAAGCCGACAAAGGCACTGCTTCGCCTACCGACACCGCTCGCTAACCGGTTACCTTCTGTTACCCTTCAATCGGCGGGCCTTGGCTTAGTTTTAGAGGTTAGTTACACATCTATCTCACTTGTAACTACCTGACATACGCTATCAAACTATTGAGATTAACCCGAATCCGGGGAAGGAAGAGAATGCATTGGGAATGGTGATGCCGGATGGACTTGTAGAAGTGGGCTCACCAGCATAGGAAAGGTTGAGTCGATCCCAGAGAATGGATTAGTTGAGAACTTGGTGGGGGTTCCTTCGCTGTTGATGGCTCTTCGTTGGATCCATAAGGTTGGCCTTTTGATACGTTATTTCATTCGATCGAGAACCCAGAAGATTCCTATTCCTTCTTTGGTAGCTATTTTCAAGCCGAGAGATAGAGAGAAAGATGGTTCTGTTCGAGGTTGCTTAGCGGCGCTGGCTGGAGATTGGGAAGAGGAGAGAGGTTGGTGGATGGGAGAGCAATAGAGGAATTGGATTCATGGTTTCCACTACTAGAGCCCGCCCGGGTCTTTGTCCCGCTTAATGGTTTTAAGAATCGAGTCGCCTTCGACTGCTTCTCTTGCCTCATTAGATCCACTCGATGCTAGATCACTTAGATCCGAGTACAGGAGCGAGGTTATTCCGCCAGCACTGGAACTTGAAAGAGCAGAAGAGGTTCATTGGCTGCGGGAGAGGAAGAAATAGGTGGCCCTAGGAAAGCAGAAGAAAGAATTGATTGGATGGCTAACAGAGAAGAGAACCCGGGAGATGATTGCTTATCGCAGGGGAAGATGGTGGAGGGCAAAAAGCGCCTTCCCTTTGATCGGTAGCCAGATGAATGAGTAGTTTAAGGCTTGGATCCATGGATGGGAACATGAGGTGGGCTGGCTTCGGATCCACAACTGGTGGAGAGTACCGGGTGAATCATTGGAACGAGAGTAGCTTGTTCGTTTGACATGAAGGAATGAACGGATCCGGTGGAATTCAAAATAAGATGAGGCTACTATTGGTCGGACTCTAACTAGCCAGTCCCAAGTCAAGCCGGTCAGTATCCGGTGGTCAGTAGTGGGCCGAAGCATCCGGTCAGTTAGTCCAGTCTGATTTCTGGCAAGCCAGTAGGTGTCAGCGAGAGGGCCCTCTGGTAAAGTAGCAGTTCGAGCAAGAGAGAAAGTAGCTTATGAAAGAAAGAGATAAGAACTATGACTTAAACGATTTCTGTCTTACTTTCGGTAACTTATTCAACCGATGGATGAGAATGAAAGAAGGTTGATCTTTTTTTAATCGAGATTCTTGGGTGAGTCTTCCATGGGGGGGAAGCTTTTCTTATTCCGAAAGAGTGCTAGAAGCTAGAAAACTCCAAAGGCAATGCAAGAAAAGGGTCTAAGGCGCAAGGCAGCAGGAAAGCAAGTCCTCGGTCGTAAGAAGAGCTTTTATGTGCTTACTTTTTCGTAACTTTCCATGGACTAAGGTTTCGGTATTTGGGAAAATCCGAGTCGATAGAACTGTAAATTCAATTTTAGAAAGGGTCAGGGAAGTTCAAAGCAAGGTTTTAGAAGTAAGCAAGGTTAGATGATAAGTCATTCCCTGGGGATATAATTTATATACTAAGAGAAGAGGGTAAGCTTTCTTGATCCTGAATCCGAACTTTCCCGCAATTCAGAGATTGATTGGTTGAACCGGTAGTTGAGCTGAGTGCTTGCCCGCTTCGCGCCTCTCCTTGACGTATTGCTGTAAGCCAAACTCCTTATGTCACTTCTGTCTATGGGATTGTCACATACATTCTAAAGTAGCTTGAATTTCATTCCCTTGCGTCGATAAAGCCTTCTTGAATTGAACTACTTCTTTGCTTTCGAGAGAATCCGTGAATGAAGTAAGAAAGGTTCTTAGCCAACCAAGCGTCAACTATAAGGGTTAGGATTAATCGAGCCCTAAGTATAGGCCTCGGTCAAGCATCAGTCACAGGATCAGACTCCACCTTTCCTGCTTGACTTGAAGACTCTCGGGGTGCCTCTAACCAAGAGCGGAACCTCCCTTTACATATGTATTTATTGGTTCGAGAGATGCCACCTCAACATATTATATTATCAGATTCGTTCTTTGTGTCAGCTTCTGCGAACCCAGTCTCATACTCGGAAAAAGCCTTTACTTTAAGGCCCGATACTCTCTCTCAGCAGCAACATCCACCACAAGATCCGATGCAACAAAAGCTGTTCCTTCTCCAGATACGGGAGCTTTCTCCGGATTCAGTTGATGATTCTCTTTCAGTGTAATCTCTGTTTGAAAGACCTTTCCGTTGTCAATTAGTCGGGTAGCTTCCCACCTCCACTCTAATAAGCTTTCCTGTCCTGGCTTGAAGCTTTCAGTGAACTTATTTCAGACCCCTATCTTTCTTACTTGACTGCTTAGCCGAGGAATCTTTCCTTTTCGGTCTCCTACCTGCGTTCCTAAGCTAGCGTCGAGCTCCGTAACCCTATCCTTCTGAGTCGGGCTAGTCCCATACCCACTTTCTTTCAACTATAAGTTACGAATTGAACCTTTCCTCATAGTCTTCGAAAGCCTTGGATTAACGGAGACTTTACATGCACCGGAGCCGGCTACTTTCTCTCTATAAGAAAGTAAGAATGCGGGGTAGGAATTGCTTTTGTTCTCTATTTACGATCGCAAAGTCTGCCTTCTTCCTAACAGCTTTTCATTCTCTAGCCTATAAAATCAATGAACGTAGGAAGCTTACTGAGACTAGGCATTCAATGGGAATTCTAGACTCTTAAACTAATTGAAGAAAGAAAGCGCAAACCAGTCTAGCCAGCTGGACAATCAGAGTCATGTTTAACACATAGGTTTTCGATCATGTCAGCACCCTTCCCTTGAAGCTCAACCATCCGGGATGCTAGTTTTCTGAGGATGATTCTTTCGCGTAAGTCAGGGGAGTGTTGAGCCGATGACCTTTTCAGCATCGCTGTGAGAGCATCCGAGTGAAGAATTTCTTCCAATGGCATGCTGAATGAAATAGTTTCTTAGTGCTTCCCTTTGTTCTTGAAAGAGATCAAGACTGGTAGGCAGGCTAAGGCCAGAGATTCAATGCCCGAGGGAAGTCCTAACCCTGTATGAGAGCTTGGCCAGCAAGCTTTTGGACATTGAATGTACACTCGAGGAGGACTGAACAGATGTAGAGGATCCTGACAAACTTGGAGAAAGCACACCTTGAAGAGTTGACATCTGAGATTGAAGATGATGTCAACAGTTAGCCAAGAAGGTTTATGGCAAACTGGAAGGAGGGATAAATGATCTACCTTAGGTAATGCTCTGCTTTCAGTGGGAACCGGTGGAGATTGAGGTGAAGGTCTTTTTTTTAGTCTATCCCTTGTCCCATATCTGCTGTTTTCATCCAACTAAAAATCTCGTAAGAGAAGAAAGAAACTTTACGCCCAAAACTCCCATGTCTTTCTTGGTTGGACCAAGCCAATCGGTGATTTTCGACAAGTCTTTCCTCTTGTTGGGGGGAGCGGAACTGTCTTTGAATAAATTTGATATGGAGAATTTGAACGTCGTATCCATATTTCTGGGGATCGGAGTAATCCTTTCGGTAACCATTTTTTGTGCGGGACAAGTTTACGAGCGAAGTACTCTTGTGGAACGTATACATAAGTTAGATCTCGAGAAACTCAAACAAAAAACCGAAGCAAAACTAGAAATGCTTTGGAACCTTTATAGGGATAGGGATGAAAATATGCGATTACCGGAAGGACTCAGTTTCAAAGACATAGTTGACCATGCCTTTATTTATTATGAACGAAACTCTTGAAGAACAAATTCTGGGGTTAAACCAAATCCATTTGGATCTCATTTGTAATGGCACGAGCAGTAGGTACTTTGTTGACATTCTGGATACGTATGGCCATATTGTGGGTATGTAGTTAGGACTTGGTTTTTCTATTAACTTTTTTCTCGTACCTTAAACCACCTTCTAGACTTTCGGCGGAAAAAGAAGCCGAGCCTTACAGCAGGAGTTCGGGACTTTCCTTTCGCCTGCAACAAATCGTAAAGTCGTCGCGCCGGGCCCCGGTGTCGAGCGAAGCATCAAGAAAGAATTTCAATTGGATGAGAAATCTGGTTCGATGGCTGTTCTCCACTAACCACAAGGATATAGGGACTCTCTATTTCATCTTCGGTGCCATTGCTGGAGTGATGGGCACATGCTTCTCAGTACTGATTCGTATGGAATTAGCACGACCCGGCGATCAAATTCTTGGTGGGAATCATCAACTTTATAATGTTTTAATAACGGCTCACGCTTTTTTAATGATCTTTTTTATGGTTATGCCGGCGATGATAGGTGGATTTGGTAATTGGTTTGTTCCGATTCTGATAGGTGCACCTGACATGGCATTTCCACGATTAAATAATATTTCATTCTGGTTGTTGCCACCAAGTCTCTTACTCTTATTAAGCTCAGCCTTAGTAGAAGTGGGTAGCGGCACTGGGTGGACGGTCTATCCGCCCTTAAGTGGTATTACCAGCCATTCTGGAGGAGCAGTTGATTTAGCAATTTTTAGTCTTCATCTATCTGGTGTTTCATCCATTTTAGGTTCTATCAATTTTATAACAACTATCTTCAACATGCGTGGACCTGGAATGACTATGCATAGATTACCCCTATTTGTGTGGTCCGTTCTAGTGACAGCATTCCTACTTTTATTATCACTTCCGGTACTGGCAGGGGCAATTACCATGTTATTAACCGATCGAAACTTTAATACAACCTTTTTTGATCCCGCTGGAGGGGGGGACCCCATCTTATACCAGCATCTCTTTTGGTTCTTCGGTCATCCAGAGGTGTATATTCTCATTCTGCCTGGATTCGGGATCATAAGTCATATCGTTTCTACTTTCTCTGGAAAACCGGTTTTCGGGTATCTAGGCATGGTTTATGCCATGATCAGTATAGGTGTTCTTGGATTTCTTGTTTGGGCTCATCATATGTTTACTGTGGGCTTAGACGTTGATACCCGTGCCTACTTCACCGCAGCTACCATGATCATAGCTGTCCCCACTGGAATCAAAATCTTTAGTTGGATCGCTACCATGTGGGGGGGTTCGATACAATACAAAACACCCATGTTATTTGCTGTAGGGTTCATCTTTTTGTTCACCATAGGAGGACTCACAGGAATAGTCCTGGCAAATTCTGGGCTAGACATTGCTCTACATGATACTTATTATGTGGTTGCACATTTCCATTATGTACTTTCTATGGGAGCCGTTTTTGCTTTATTTGCAGGATTTTACTATTGGGTGGGTAAAATCACAGGTCGGACATACCCTGAAACGTTAGGGAAAATCCATTTTTGGATCACTTTTTTCGGGGTGAATCTTACCTTCTTTCCTATGCATTTCTTAGGGCTTTCGGGTATGCCACGTCGCATTCCAGATTATCCAGATGCTTACGCTGGATGGAATGCCCTTAGCAGTTTTGGCTCTTATATATCCGTAGTTGGGATTTGTTGTTTCTTCGTGGTCGTAACAATCACTTTAAGCAGTGGAAATCAAAAAAAATGTGCTCCAAGTCCTTGGGCTCTTGAACAGAATTCAACCACACTGGAATGGATGGTACAAAGTCCTCCAGCTTTTCATACTTTTGGGGAACTTCCAGCTATCAAGGAGACGAAAAGCTATGTGAAGTAAAAGAAGAAAAGGTCGACGACTGCTACTAAGAACCTAACAGAACTTTTTCGAAAAGAAAGCCATGGTCGAAGCGGTGCGCTCATTCTGCATTTTTTTCGTTCAAGTTCAAAAGGGCACGAGAAAAAAGCAGCTGGATGTAATAAAGGAAAAAGACTTGCTAAGCTTGGATGCAGCAAATGAGATAGATTGAATGAAAGCATTGGATCAGGGCATCCAATCACAGGCGAAAGGTATTCGGAGTTCTTCCCCGGAAAAGCAAAGTCCTTACTTTGACTTAGACTTACCCGAATCAAGTCAAGGCGATGAAGCAGGCGAAAGGCCCATCTTATTACTTATTATAAGAGTTCTCCCTCTCCCCGGGCCTAGTCTGACTCATCAAGCTGCAATGCAAAAGTTGTCCTTTCAGCATTCCATTAGTGTTCATTGTATCATTGGCCTGTAATGAAAAACGATTCTAGGAGAGAAGTTCGTTATCTACGTTTCTTATCATTAGATGAGACAGTTAGCCGGATGAGTGCCAAAGACAACAGCCGATTGTCCCTGCTTGGAGTTAAGAAGGCACGCGCCCTCACGCTTTCGAGCAGAATATCCATACCTTTCTTTTAGTAGTGAATGAGATGCTTGACAATAACGCAAAATTCAGACATAACATATAAGGTGTAACACAATGCCTTAAGTGTGGGAGGTCAGCACTCTCTTTTGTCTTTTTGCCCAATATCTCCTTCGGGAAGGAGCGAAACCTTGACTAACCTTCCCCTACCGAACATAAAAGTTTGCATTGGGAGCCCCTATCATTTTTTAAAGAAAAGCAGTTAGTTGTAACGAGGTCTCCCGAAATGATCGTGAGAGGCACGTACCCAGCTGGGGATTCGAACCCGACTCTTCCAGGGCTTCTTCATGTTATAAGATGACGGCAACCGCTACCACCACTCCGAAAGGGCAACCTCCTCTATAAGATATAAGAATTTGCTCGAATACGAGAACGTAAGCGCTAGGTAAGTCTAGTCATCAACTAGACGTTTGGGTATAGTCGCGTTAGCGCTTTTCTGATCGCTTTGAAGCTTTAGCTCTCGATTCGCTCGCCATAACAAGCTGAGCGTCATGGTCGAACACACACACCCTTACCTTAAGGTAAGGCACGGTTAGCCGGTCAAGAGACAAGACTTTATTAGAAAGAGGACAGTCACAGACTCGCGTTTAAGTCAGAGTCTCAGCGAACAAACACTCACTTAATCGAAAGCTAAATAATAAACTTTGGAATGGTAACGAAGATCGAAATCCTTCCTTCCGGCAAGGTCGAACATAAGGCAGAAAGATCAGACTCAGTTCGAGATTCCTTACGAATTAGGGTAAATCAAGGACCCTTTCTTCCTAATCAAAAAGAAAGCCCTGTTCTAGCAAACTCTGTCTTAACAGATGATTCTTTAGATTCGGATGGAGATGCTTTTGAGGGGCTTTATTTAGCTGTATGTTACGAAGCGTAGGGTCTTTCAACAACTAGAGCGGTCCTCTCGGAAGGATGTTGACCCCGTCACCGATGCTCTTGGCTTTCGTGTGTCACTGATTTAGCTTCCGATTGGGTCAGTGTGAAGCATTGGGTTTCTGCCTTAAGCTCGCCTGTGACTGTCCTACTCTCCCAAGTCAGTTTCGAATCTGGATGACCTACTGACTACGTTACAGCTGGATCGGTTAGTTCTGGGATGATTGATGCCTTCCATACATCAGCATTCTAGAAGTACAGCTTTTGTTGTGTGTGTTCTTTCCAACTGGAAAGACTTGGCTGGCTAGCCCCTTCTTTCCTTATCTAATGACATAGATAGAAAATTCTTGCCGATAATTGAGTAACGATTGATTCAAGCCCGTCACAAGGTGCCAGAGTAGACTTCTAAGCAAGATCGAGTATAGAGTGAGGAAAGCCTTAGTCTGAAAACACAAGAAGTAGGTAGCCGTTATCAGTCCACCGAAAGTGGTCAATCAGGCTTCGCACCTTCCCTTACTAAGCTTTCAGTCCTAATAGCTACTTCCTTGCCTTAATAAGCTCCCAGGAAAGCCTGCTTTAGAATATAAGAGTTTTTTCTTTCTGCCACTCAATCAGAAGTGTTATACTAATAGGTTGATGCTTTCGCTTAAGCAAATGGTGCCTTTTGGGCCCATTGGTAGCATAGGAGAACCCGACGTAACTAGAGAGTAGTTGTCGGCAAATCAAGTCGACGATCTTTCCTTTTCCCGGAGCGCCTTCCTTGACGCGTCTGCGTCTGGTGCCTCGGAGCCTGCGGTATAGAGAACGGATCTGAATCAATATCGAATGCAACCTCTCCCGCCGTGGAACTGTTTCCGTTTTTCAATCGAGGTATATTGTAGTTTCCTCGGGTCGTCGCCGCCCCACCCCTTTTTGATTTGACCCATAATCAGGTTTTTCCCATCCCAAGATAATAGAAGAGGCAAAAGAAGACCCATACCATAGCCATAGATAGGTAGGAAGGGACAAGATTGGAATAGAATCAAGTTGGCAAAGCAAAACCACTGCTGAATCTGGACTAAGCCCTCACTCCACGGCTCCTCAGGGGAAGAGAATAGGAACAGATAGGAGCACTTAGACTTGGTTGGAGGCCTGACCTATCTATAAAGAGGCTTGTAGCTTCACCAGAATCAGATGCATATGCCGTGGATCATCGGCTTTCAATTCCGGCGTTCCAGAGCAGAGTAGTAGTGATTGGCAAAAGAAGCCTCTAATCCCAATGACTTTAGGTCTCCCTAAAGCTTAGGTCAGGGTGGGCACCGGGCAGTAAGAATATTCACCGACCAGTGTTCATATTGGAATGGGCTCCGCCGGAGCTAGGAGAACAGCAGCTCTTCCGCAAAAGAATCTGACAGTTTCAAGTCCGTGGGAATCTTCCTCCTGGGATGAATTGCCTTCAATCATCTATCGAATTGGAATTCTCTGTCGAAAAAGGGGAAGGAGGAAGAATTGCGTTCTAGTGTCCTATTTGTCTAATCTAATAATTATTATAAAATTCCCCCCATTCAATAATTCGTATTCGTAGCGTCCGATTCCATTCCTGACTAGCGGACAGAAAGAAAGCAAGAATTCTTCCTGCTCTACGATTAACTCTTCCGTTTAAGGTCAGGAGGTACGAAGTGACTTTCCTCGTTAGGACAGCCAGAAGGGCAGAGCTCTATGTTCTATTGAAAGCTGTTTCAAAAGAGCGCATTCGATTCCTCCTCGTACATTTCTATTAGATGCTTGAATGTCGGAAATCGGATATGGCAGCATTTATTTGGGCCTTAACTTAATAAAGAAGGATGGCTAGTTACTTATATTTATTCATACCGGGAATTTTGTCCCACTTTTCTTTTTCCTTCTATTCGGATCTTTCCGGCGAATGTTGAGAATGGTCTGTTCATGAAACTTCGGGTACCTTTACTATCGAAAAATGATGTTCCCAGGAGCAAAACCATCTAAGCCAAGATCGTGAATTCCTTTCACTAGCAGCCTTAATGCCATGCCGACAAAACATCAACAGGATCGGAATCAGGGAAGGCGGATTCCATAGTTGCCTCACAGCCTGCCTATTCGAGAACATCTGCTCGTGGGATCTGACTAAGATGACATTTGATCTCGGCCTGGCCTAGCGCTTGAAAGCATAAATTTCCATAAGCCGTCAGGGCAAGAAGGTCCTTAACAACCGATTCCTATTCTTTATATGTCATGTCACTTCCTCGTCCATTAACAAGGCAAGAGCAAATGAAGTCACCGCGCTCTTGCCCTCTCACCAGTACTTCCCTATAAGGGATGGGGCGGACCCGGTTCAGTTCAAACCACCAGCCACTTTCCTTAATGGCTACCCGCTTTCGAGTGAACTCTTGGACTGGCTGAAAGGGAAACTGTACAAGGCATTTTCCACTCGTTTACGAATTTTAAAGGAAAGGATTGTTGCACTCTCTTGCTTGAATGAATCGACATTTGTGGATGGTTGTTTCTTTGGGATTATTTTATCTATATTTAGAACTACTGGATTAACTACTCCGGCTTTTAGCCTTTTGAACCAGTGGAACCCTAAAGTCACTCGCCCGTTCAAACTCTTCTGTCCATCCCATCTAAAGCCTTTCATCAGTGAATCCGGGGACAGCCGCTGCTTTATTTAAACAGCTAAGATAAGGTCTAAGACCGTCTCTTTTTTTCCACATCCTCATTCCTCCTTATTTCAGGATACTTTTTCTTTTAAATGCTACGGAACCAGCTTTCCCAATCAATAAATTCAAATTAAGGGGGTCAATTCCCTCGGTGCGATGGGGGAGTTTGTTCCTCTCCCTATGGCCCGTCTAAAATGAAGTACGATCACCTCTTAGGCGACCTGATCGGTTAAAGCGCTTCATTTAAATGCTTTAATATGGTTAGGTTTACCTAAAGTGAGTCTCTTGGTTTGAGATGCTCACTACTTAGTAACAGCTGAGTGCCCTACTAGACACTCCTTCGTGGGGTGGCTGTGGTCGAGTCCGATGTTCTGTCACAGTGTGACTTATTTTATCGAGATCTCTGTTAATTTCTGGATCTCCTGATGAGGAATCGGTGGAGAGTCCAGCCCCAGCAATGTGGTTGTGATTCCCTATCGATCGCTTCCGAAAGGGGTGAAAGGCGACCTGAAAGGGAATTAGTTATGAGAACTTTATTTGATAAGTTACTTACTTTGCCACCCATCCGGTGGCAGAGAGTATTGGAAGACTTTCGGGTGATGGTGACTATCTTGAAAAAGATGGTCCTCCTCACCCTGGACGGCTATACTAAGGAAGTTTGCATAGCAGGCTACCTTTTCTGCAAGAAAGTTCGACATCTGGTTAAGGGATCAGGACTTCTCTTCACCGCCTTGTATTTGAAGCAATGTAGTTCATCGCTCCAAATATGGCGGTTGTAAGAAATCTCCTGAGCTCTTGCCAGTGCCGATCTCTCTCACTAGGTCCGGGTGCCCTCGCATAATCCCGTCCTTTCATAGGAGGATGATTTATAAGAGGGATGATAAAGCCGATCTGTTGGTTAAGTTATACTTGTCTTTCTTCACACTTAGCTTAGTAAATTGATTAAGCTGTGTCCAAAGATAAGTAAGAAGACTGAAACCGGATCAAGTTTTATTGGTATTATTAAGGAGAAAATACCTGATCTCGTCAACCGATACCTGCCCGGAGTCTCCACCATTCCCTTAAACCAAGGGATGAAGTGGGTTCCGACCTGGAAGTCATTACCAACATTCAAACAAATGAATGACCTGCTGAGACAGAACGCCAGAGAGCAAGGAATTGGTTTCCCTTTCAAGGGTAGTATCAAGTCTTGCTTTCCTGCCGTATTCTTTGAATTATCAGCTTATACTTTCCTCCTTGAGTTTATACACTCTCGGGGGGAGCAGTGGTCATCAGGTATTCTCTGGCCTGAGAGAACTAGGTTCGCATTGGACCGTCAGAATATCTCAGGATCTGATTTAGATCAGTTTGAGAAGACATGCGGTCCGCAGCTGCCTAGCTATCGAGACCTGAGGATACCTCCTATTACAGGAAGGCTGGGTTGTACTTTTGAGGGAGGGGGTAAAAGGCGGATTTTCGCCATTGGGAACTATATCAATCAACGGTTGTTGAAGCCAGTCCATGACTGGTTGATGGATGTCTTGAGGGGGGTGCCCATGGATGGATGGTACTTTCCAAGCTCCTCTTGATAGGTTGGCTGGCAAACAGGATTGTTATTCATTTGACCTAAAATCGGCTACCGATCGGTGGCCGATTTGATGGTTCTTTTAGATTATGCAATACCTGTTTGACCGGTCGTTTGCCTCCGCTGTTGTGAACTCGGCCCTCGCGTGCAACATTTTTTAAATACGCCCGGAGGGCTGTCATTTCCTTCATCGCGGGGCAGCCTCTTGGCTACTATTCATCCTGGCCCCTTTTCGCACTCTCTCACCACTTGTTGGTGTGCAGATCAGGTGCATCCAGGGATGAAGTTCGACTCCTATGCTGTGCTAGGGGATGATGTGGTCATCGCTGATTCCTCAGTGGCCAAGGTCTATGAGCGGGCTCTGGAGCAGTTTGGTGTAATGATCAGTTACCAAAAGTCTCTGATCTCTAACACTGGCTGCGCAGAGTTTGCAAAACAGTTCCGAGTCCACGCTCTAAGGAAGGACCTTAGTCCAATCTCGGCGAGAGCCTT